GTCATGTTGTTTCATAAAAAGTTGAAAATTGTGACATACTAACTCGAAATTAATACAGATTAATGCTTAATTATAGATTACTAAGTCATAATTCTGATTGTTGGGTCATATCTATGACATAAAAACGTCGACATTTATGACACTAAATCATCGGTATGACATGTTAAAAGTCAAAATTATGAGTATAATGATGATTTAAAGCAAGTTCTTCCAGTTATGTTGCGGAAATGGTCAGTCATTCTGACACGATATGAAGAGAATGAAACATCAGATGTTTGATTGATCGATCATCTGATCGTGTAATGCGGATAATCGATCACAGCACGCAGCTTCGCGCACACACACTCACATTTGCGTGTCGTGCTGAGTTAATGCGAGTTATCCGACGTGTAAAGATAGGGATTTGAGTGACAAACGCGATGTTTGTGTCGATGCAAACGAGTGTTTTATCAATAGCGGTTAGCGGTTGCGGCTAACACACACCCCTGACAGAGAACAAGCTCATCAAACACACTGACCTGAAGCTGCTCTCATCAGCACAGCTCGACGACGGACTGGAACTCAAGCTTATATTCCTGTTCTGCTCTTTATTCGAGTATTTTCTCGCGTCTGTTCTTCACCGCTGCTGCTGCTTCAAGGCTGCCGCCATCTTGTTTACCTCCCTCCCCTCGTTGAAAAGCGCATGCGCAGAACCGTGAACGCGCTCGCCGGCCTCCAGCAACCTGCAACACACTCCCCTCGGACCGAGCGCGCGCAGTTTTTACTTTTTGTTCAATAAATATTAATAATAATGTTACAGTTAGTTATCAATTAATATTATTATTAAAAAAAAAATAAAGGAATAAAATCAAAATATATAAATAAACTTAATTATAACATCACGATGTTTACATATTATTTACATACTAAATTTAACCAATAATAATAATAATAATGTTACAAATTAACATTTATATAAAAAAGGAATAAAAACAAAAGATAGCTTAAAAGTTGAATATAACTGTTGTTTTCAAATAGCATTTTTTACAGCCTTCTCATTTGTCAAACATGGGCTTACCCTCCCTATAATTAGCCTACTAAATTTAACTATGGTATAATGACACAATATTCCTTATGATAAGACAGATAGGGGATTATTTTTAAACAGTTGAAAGCCAGAGTAAAATACGAACTACTTCCGGTTCCCATGAATAACATTTTGATATAGCCTAAGTATGCTTGAGATAAAATGTTCTCTTTTTCTGAAAACTTTGTTTTAATCCAGACTTCAGTGATATAACTCATCCATGTGTGTGTGTGTGTGTGTGTGTGTGTCCATCACAGTCTCTTGCAGGTTATATTTAACTAGTGTTAACCCTGTGGAATCTCAAACTCAAGCTCTGATTACAAACACACACTCGCTTTCCTCATTACAGTCAGACTTAATGAGCACAGAACACAAATCTAACAGCAGAATGTGAGTGTGTGTGTATGTTTGTGTTCTGTGCTCATAGTCTGATTGTAATGTGTGTGTGTGTGTGCGTGTGCATGTGTGCGCGTTCAGAAGATGAATCACGCAGACGGTGAACACACCATATGCTGTTATGATGCTTTTTTGTGTTTAATTTTCTTGATCTTGACGATATTCGCTTTCATGGAAAAGAGTTTATTAAAGTTTATACAGAGAAGCATCTCATCATTTCCAGATGTCACGATTTCCCTCGCTTATTTTGATATTGTTTAGTCTTGCTGTTTCTATTTTGTTATTTGCTGTGGTTTTGGTTCCTGTTAGCCTGTTTCCATGAAAACTCAGTATCCACACCATCACCATTCCTCAGTTTGCCTGTGTCCGAAATCAATCCATATACCCTTAAAAGGCCATTCTTTGAGCTGACAGACATTTAGTGGTGTCCGAAACCATAGTGGACGTTATCGAGCGCACTCATTCAATCCCATAATGCACTGTGAGAGTCACACGGCGAATCAATTCCTGCTTCTGACCAGTAGATGGCGCCACAGCCAAATCATTCGTTTCCAAACCGCTGGTCCAATGTGGCTATATAGCGAAATATCATACAGATACAGGGGTTGGACAATGAAACACCTGGTTTTACTACACAATAATTTGTTAGTATGGTGAGGGCCTCATTTTGCATCCAAATACAGCACCAATTCTTCTTGGAAATGACAAATAGAAGTCCTTCACAGTGACCAGAGGGATTATGAGCAGTTCCTCTTCCAGAACAGTGTCCAGGTCACTATATGATGCTGGTGGACTCGCTCCTCCAAAACACCTCAACAATATTTAGATCTGATGACTGTGCATGTTCAACGTCACTTTCATCTTCATCAAACCCTTCTGTCACAAGTCTTGCTGTGTGTGTTGGTGCATGATCATGATACACGGTTTGAGCATCAGGTGCTCATGATCCTCCAGAAGGGTTTGGTAGTCCTCGGCAGTGTCGTGTCCATCAAATACAATCAGGATTGTCATGATGTTGGAGCTCAAACCATCACTGATCCACCCGTGCTTCGGCATATAGATGTGAAACCTCCAACATTGGCCAGTGTTTCAGTTTCATTGTCCAACCCCTGTATTTAAATGCCTTTTAAATTGATAATTAAATTGTTTGATTAAGGTTTACACATGGTATTTTCCACAACAGAGTTCGAGATAAATAGTTTCATTATATTTGGAGGGAGCTGCCGGTTTGCAATGTTTCAGATGATTATTAAGCAAGAGGAGTAAATGATGACAAACTTTGACGTTGACTTGATAAAGCCAGGTCTGAACTTATAATATAACTTTAAAAAGCTTGAAATTTGAAGTCAGAACGTACAAAATAAAAACTAATTGAACATATTCATGCTAATAGGCTAACATGTTCATGCATTTGGCACTTATATGGCACTTTCATATGTAGCCTAAAGCGCTTTACAATCATATCAGGATTTGTAACAATAACATGTTGTTAGCATTATTTAACACATTGCTAGCATGTTTTAGCATGTTACTAGAATAAGTTAACATGTTTTGTTAACAAGATTTAACATGTTGCTGATTTAGCATAATGCTAACCCAGACAGCAAACTGACATTGAATCAACGTGGAAACGACGTCTGATTTTGACGTCTGAACGTTGATTTTGCTCATCGAATTAACGTTGAACCAACGTCAGACGCGGCATTCTTCAAAGCTAAATGAAAATCGAAAATTGGTTTGCTTTCGTTGAAACAACGCGTTGATTTCAAGTTGATTTTCCGTTAGTTTTGAAAGAATGACGCGTCTGACGTTGGTTCAACGTTAATTCGATGAGCAAAACAATGTCAGATCAACGTTGTTTCGATGTCATATTTCCACGTTGATTCAATGTCAGTTTGCTATCTGGCAAAGGCGTGGGGGGATCATCATTAAATCATTTTTCTTTAAGTAGCAAGTTATATTCCCCCCGTGATTTCTTCTCCTTCAAAATACTCTATTTTCTGTTGAAGACTCATATAGGGAATTTAACCCTGTGTCATTTGTGTCACTCATGCCTCATGCAACAAATAAAAAGGAAATGTTGGCTCTACACTGCCCACCACTGTGGCACTGTATCATGCAGACTCCTCTGTAGGCCTTAAATTGCAAATATTGCGTTTCGTCATTTTTGGTGGAGTATTCGCGGAGATATTAGCCGAAAACCGCCGGCCGCGCTCTGAGATGGCGCCACGAGCTCAGGAGAAAATCGCAAATATCTCGGCGAAAAATCAACGTGTCGATGCCAAATTTTTATCGAGTGGAGAACGGACCGAGACCTTTTGAAAGAGACCACCCCCAGCACCGTGGGCCCCCGGGGGCCCGAGATACAGGCCCCCAAAGCCCCCCCGGAAGAGAAAAACGCAAATATCTCAGCGAAAACTCAACGTATCTGCCGGAAACCGGACTCCTTCTCGCCGAACTGAACAAAACCATATGCGCTTTGTCATTTTGTCATTGGCGGATTATCCTCGGAGATATTAGCCGAAAACCGTCGGCCGCACGAAATGGCGCCACGAGCTCGGGAGAAAATCGCAAATATCTCGGCGAAAAATCGACGACATCGAGTGGAGAACGAACGGATAACTTTCGTAAGAGTAAAATAAATAAATAAATAAATAAATAAAAAATATAGTAGGCCTACAATCATTTCATTGAGAAAAAAAATTGGGCAATTTTGGACCGAGACCCGAACTGGACTATTAAGTCTTAATGTAGCCTACAAAAGTTTTCACCCCCTCAATGAAAGTCTATGCGAGCTTTCGTAGGTTAGATTGTCCGTTTAAAAAAAAAAAAAAAAAAAAAAAAAAAAAAAAAAAAAATATATATATATATATATATATATATATATATGATGTTGGATTAGTAGAAAAGATCCCAGACGGCAGCATCACTGTGGATCTCACGTGCACCGGATCTGGGCCGACTCGTTGTTGCTGTCTGGGATACACCTGTTATGATGTGAATCATAATTATGAGATTAAAAAAAAAAAGAAGAAATAATTATGATTTAAGACATTAGCAACTTTTTTAATCTAAGTGACTTGTGCTAATTTAAATTGTTTTATCTAATAATGACTTCCATCACTCAAGAAAATGCTTGAAAAAAATGCTTTTGTAAATCATAATTATAATATAACTCAAAGTTATGATGTGAGTCATAATTATGAGATTAAAATTAAATAAATTATGGCTGTCATTATGACTTATTACAATTTAGTGAATCATAATTAATGATATTTGTGCCAAATTTCGATTTACCAAAGCATAATTTTCTTATTTTGTAGTTATGGGCTTCCATTCAAAACTTTTTATGTTTGTTATCATTGTCTGATGAAAGTCTTTGACTGTATTCAATAAAGTTTTGAGTGACACTGTTTACAACAAGGTTCTATGAGTTAACTAAATAATTATAAAGCAATTATTAATCTTACTTTATGCTAATGTCTACATTTACATCAATATTTGCACCTGTTGATGATATTATTTAATGGACCTGAGCTGACATGAACAGCTGTATTTTTATTAATGGACTGAAAAATGGATAAAACATCAGAAATGAAAGATTGTAAGTGATGAACAGGCAGACATTTGTTGATCCATACAATATATTTGATCATGTACAATATGAACCAGTACAAGATGATTGTCTGGAATAAATATCACAGCACACCTCATATATTTACAGTATAAACAAAATATTAAAAACACGTGCAAACAATAAAACGGAAAGGAAAGCAAGTAAAGAAGGAGCGATCGCGTCGATGATGTCACTTCTTTGTATGTTACGATGTTTTACATGTTTACACTCATCATCAAACACTCGCGCGCGATCAGTCCGTCCAGCACACACGTCTCATTAATATGCAAATAAGGCTCATTAGAGACTGTGACATATTCATGAGGTTCTCATTCGTTTGTCAGTTCAGCAGTGTGTGTGTAAATAAACGACACTTCATTCGGGTGGATAAGAGCATAAAACACATTTTTTTTAAAAACGTCTTTTTTTCCAGCACAAATATCTAAACATTCAAAAACGTGTCAAAAAAGTGAGTTTGTGCTTAAAACGAGAACTTTTTACTTGTTTTTACTTTGATTTTTGGCAGATATTTGATCTTGTTTAAATCGCAAACTCGCTTCATGATGAAATTGTGACGTTCTTGGAATATTGCAGTATCTCTCGCTTCTTTGAGGATGTGGGCGGGGCTTTAACCTGTCACTCACATGAGATCAGCCAATAGCAAACCACAACCGTCCAATCAATTCCTCACAGACACAATCAAGCCCCGCCCACATATGTTCTAGTTCCTGAAGCGCTTAGAGGAGAGAAGACGAGTGAAATCATGATAACTTTAAATATCTTCAGTCATTTTGCTTCTTCTCCAGTAAATGTTTCTTGATTTTAAATGTTTAGACATTATTGCTGGAAAACCAGGCAGAAATAAGTGTGTCGGAGCAGGACAGGAAACAGACGCAGGAGTTGAATCTTCTCTTCATGAAGTCTTCATTTTAAAGATATACAAGCCGACTGTACACACACACACACACACACACACACACACTGCAGTTAGCCTGAGTTCAGATACTCCAGCGCCACTTCATAGCAGAACTTGTACTGATCCTGAAACAGACGAAACGACGTGAATTAGATCAAGTTCTGTACATGTATGCAAATTAGCACATCATTTAATTAGCTAATGCATCATTTGCATATCTAAACTAGGGCTGTGCAAAAATTAATTGTGATTAATCGCATCCAAAATAAAAGTCTGTGTTTACATAATATATTTGTGTGTGCTGTATATAATTATTTTGTATATATAAATACACACACATGCATGTATATATTTAAGAAAATGTGTTATTCATATATAAAATATTTATATTTATATAATATAGATTTTGTATTTAAATAGCCTATATATATATATATATACAGAATTTAAGTGCAAATAATTCTTAAATATATACATGCATGCATAGGTATTTATATATAAAAAATAATTATATACAGCACACACAAATATATTATGTAAACACAGACTTTTATTTTGGATGCGATTAATCGCAATTAATTTTTGCGCAGCCCTAATCCAAACATAAAACTTCCAAATTTGGTAACACTTTACAATACGCTAATCAAATAGTATTGCTCATTGTTAGTTCATGTATTAATCTTTGTTCATGTTAGTTATTAAAATACAGCTGTTCATTTTAGTTCACAGCGCATTAACTAGAGTTCACAAGATTTTAATAATGCATTAGTAAATGTTGAAATTAGCATGAACAGAGATTAATAAATCCTGCAGTTCAGTATTAGTTCATGGATTGAATGTGTTTAAGTAATGTGTGTTACCGTAATGTAAATGTGATCAGCGGATTGGGGAAAATGTGGTCTATTAGTCACGTTTACTCTATTTTAATATTATTTTATATTTTAATTTAGTCAAATTAAACATTTATGGAGCTGATCCCACTGGAGAAGCTTTTTATCTTCTATATATCAGTGAACAAGCAAATGTATTCGCTCTTAAAGTGACAGTATCCTAATGATGCCGTCTGTGTCGTTAATGTTAGAGGTTATGGGTAATGGGTTGTCATGTGACTGATTCTGGGATGCATTAGATGGAACGGTACCAGAAGGTCCACCATGTTGGGCTTGTTGTTGCGCAGTGTTTTGACGGCGTGAAACACGTCGACGGATCGCTGGTGTCGAAGCATCTCGCTCACGATACTGATGGCACAGAACGTCCCACTGCGCCCGCCACCGTTCCTGCGACACACACACACACACACACACACACATTACTGAGTTTCATCAGGAACACCTCATACACTCATAAAGGAAAATGTCAGTGTTTTGTGACAACTGTGTTCAACACTGATTATAATCATAACTGTTATTATGATCATCAGATCCTCATATTAGAGTGATTTGTGAAGGATCATGTGACACTGAAGACTGGAGTAATGATGCTTTGATCACAGGAATAAATTACACTTTACTGTATATTCACATAGAAAACAGATGATTTACATTATAATAATATTTCACTGTTTTTACTGTTTTTTTGATCAGCATTGGTGAGCAGAAGAGACGTCTTTCAAAAACATTAAAACATCTTAAATATTAAAAACATGTAGGAACCATGAGTTCAGTAAACATAGTTTGTGTTTCAGACACATATTAATGTTTTACGTCTTTACAATAGCAAGAGTGACTTTGTAAATATATAAATACAGATACACTAGTGGAATAATTATGATTTAATGTTTCTGAGAGAGTCTCTTCTGTTCACCAGGGCTGTTTATTTGATCAAAAATGTTGTAAAAATAGTGAAATATTATTGTAATGTAAATCATCAGTTTTCTATGTGAATATACAGTAAAGTGTAATTTATTCCTGTGATCAAAGCTGAATTTCTCCAGTCGTCATTGGAGTGCAGTTGCGGAGTCCGGCCACTCGGTGGCGCTGTTTCTCTTCACGCCAGATGAAGTCAAACACACCTTCAGGAAACCACTGAGGAGATGATCAGTGTTACTACTGTGATCACACAGCATTATGGGTTCGTTTTTGAGTAGTTTCAAATCTGAATTTGCAGAAATATGAACAGAATTGGACACGCAAACTTCATCAAAAATGAGACGAATGCAGATTCAGCTTTAAAACAGCCGTACAGAAGATGGCAGAGTTAGTGTTTAGTTCTCATCTGATTATTCAGGGGTGAAAGTTTAGTTCAAGATTCAGTCAGTCGACATTCTCCATTAAATCCGAAACGTATAAAGTGAATGTAAATAGTTATAAAATGAAAGTAAACAAAATAAAACTAATTAAATTATGAGCATGCAAAAAATGCTTATTAATTTAATTAAATCATAAAATTACAAAAAAACCTGTTTTGTGATTTTTACAAACTTGAGTAGATGTGTGTGTGTGTTTTGCTATTCTATATATAGTTTCCTCCAGATCTGCAACAGTTGATTCTCTATATGATATTTTTGGGGGTTTTAACTGTAATTTCTGTCATATAAAAGTCGAGTAATCTATTGTTTCAGTCTCCTCAGATTCTCTTCATTAACGCATGATTCTTTCTTCAAAATCAAGACAAAACAAAGTTTCCGACTCCGAACACCTCGGAGCTCCCATTGGTCCGTGTGTTGATGATGCAATAAGTGGGCGTGGCTCTGAGGCTCCGCCCTCTTCGAGGTGTAAATCGTCATGTCTTGTGATTTTTCAGATGATCACACTGAGAGACGCTCTATGACAGAGACTGAAGCTGCATCTACTGTAGAAATAAACACGTCCTCATCTGTATGATCAGAGTTGTGTTGGTCACTCACAGACAGTGGACGACCGTGCGGCCCTCTCCGCCGTCGTACTCCTCCTGCCACTTGTCCACCTGATGGATGAGCTTCAGGAAGGAGCGCTTGGACACGGGAGTGTCCCGGTACATCGGCCAGCCCAGAAACTGGAACTGCTGGACCATCCGGTACCCGTCCTGAGGCTGAAACACACACACACACACACTTGATTATTCTCCTCATATTCTGTGAGTGAGTGTGTCTGTAGCTGCGTTTCCATTACCCTTCAATTTGCGCAAATTGAAATTACGAAATGAAAATACGCTCAATCGAAACTCCCGTTTATCGCAAAAAAGTTTTTACGCTCGCATGAGGAGGTTTTTATGGAAGCTTGTTTCCGCCACTGAATAAAAAAATAAAATAAATAATTGCGACTTTTTATCTCACAATTCTGACTTTTTTTCTCACAATTGCGAGATAAAAAGTCCGAATTGCGTGATATAAAGTCGCAATTGCGAGTTATAAAGTCAGAATTGCGAGATATAAAGTCAGAATTGCGAGATATAGTCAGAATTGCGAGATATAAAGTCGCAATTGCGAGTTATAAAGTCAGAATTGTGAGATTTAAACTCTTCTGATGGGGGAAAAAGAATTGGCCTAATAAGTTGCAATTGCGAGTTTATATCTCACAATTCTGAGAAAAGATGTCAGAATTTCGACATATAAACTCGCAATTATGTGTTATAAAGTCAGAATTGTGTGTTATAAAGTCAGAATTGTGTGTTATAAAGTCAGAATTGCGAGATATAAAGTCAGAATTGCGAGATGTAAACTCGCAATTGTGAGAAAAAAAGTATTTTTTGTGTCTTTTTTTCTCAGAATTGCGACTTTATATCACACAATTCTGACTTTATAACTCGCAATTCTGACTTTATAACACACAATTCTGACTTTATAACTCGCAATTGCGACTTTATATCACACAATTCTGAGAAATAAAGTCAGAATTGTGAGACATAAACTCGCAATTGTGAGAAAAAAAGTCAGAATTGTGAGAAAAAAAGTCAGAATTGTAAGATAAAAAGTCACAATTCTTTATTATATTTTTTATTCAATGGCGGAAACAAGCTTCCATAGGTTTTTCAGGCAATTCGAAAAAGGATTTTTTCGCAAAACTGCAATGGAAACGGATTTTGCGCATTTACAGTCACCTGACTTAGAAGAAGACGGAGTGTGTTTTAGGTCCGTGTCCGCAAATAATAATAACAACTATCATCATTAGCCTATTATAACATTTATTAGGCTACATGTAGAAGACGCTTTTATTCAAAAAAGGAACAAAGCAATTCGTCACATCTCATTCATAGTACAGGTTGGACAATAATAATAATAGGGCTAAGATTATCACAAATTAACACTCGATTTTAACCAATATATCCAAGAGTGTGTGTGGAGTTTGACACTTTCATTTTCCCATCAACAGTGGAATCAACTTAAAATACTCGAGCATTTCTGGTTATACAGAAAATAATAATACATTATTCGCAACTACTTTTATTTGCGTAATGTCACAATAACAAGAAAACGTTGTGCTTTTGTAAAATAACATAAAACAATCAGGCGTGCTTTATGATCTTCGTGAACTTTATAGACTAAAGCTTGAAATGTCCACTTTAAAAAGAACAAATTCGAATCGTAAACTAATACTTTCTGATTATGTAATCCGTATGAAAGGTGCCGTTCTCTCTGAAGGAGATTACGTTTTTAGCTCGTTATTTTTTCAGACGCATTTATAATAATTCACCTACACAGCACTGCGGGGAAAATATCATAAATATCCATGTTCTAATTTGGCCTTAGAAAACCAGTAAAATCTACATTTTTTCCCCAAAAAATAATTTGTGAATATTTTAAATGTTTTAAAGGGGGCAAAAAGTCATAAACAAATATCTGAAATTTCGTGTATAGGCTGAAGCGCAGCATTGGTGTGGTCAAACTAAAATGATGGTATTCAACTGTTTTAAAAATACAACAACTGTTCATTTTGCGTTTTGCAGCGACCGTTTGGACATAATACGAGATAGACTTCTTTATTCAATTCATTTAAAAAAAGAAACAATAATTACAGGAATAGCCTCTCTAAACCTCAAAGAAATGCCATGAAGACATCGAAGTAGAAATAAGGGAGAAACACCAGGAACTCTGTGTCTTTCTCTGCCATTAATGCTTGGATAACACACCACGTCTCCGTCCATTAAAGGATTAGTTCACTTTTGAAAAAAATTTAGCTGATAATTTACTCGCCCCCGTGTCATCCAAGATGTCCATGTCTTTCTTTCCTCAGTCGAAAAGAAATTAAGGTTTTTGATGAAAACATTCCAGGATTTTCTCCATATAATGGACTTCAATGGGGACCAAACGGTTCAAGGTCTAAATGAGAGTTTCAGTGCAAACTGTTCAAATGTCTTTAAACGACACCAGACGATGAATAAGGGTCTTATCATGCGAAACGATCGGTTATTTCAAAACTTATTCCAAAAATGTAACTTTTCTAAGGACAAATGCTAGCCTTGCTCTATTCTGTGAGGCGCGTTTGTAACGTCACGTAATACGTAATTACGTTCAAAAGGTCACGGGCGACAGAATCAAAATCGTCCGACATCGTTGTTTTACCTTTTAATTCCTTTTTCTGTAAACGGCGTTTGAGTTCGTTTGCACGTTCAACCTATGCGTTCAACTTGTAAACACTGACTTTGTACTTCCGGCTACGTCGCCCGTGACCTTTTGAACGTAATTACGTATTACGTGACGTTACAAACGCGACTCACAGAATAGAGCAAGGCTAGCATTTGTCCTTAGAAAAGTTACATTTTTGGAATAAGTTTTGAAATAACCGATCGTTTCGCTTGATAAGACCCTTATTCATCGTCAGACATTTGAACAGTTTGCACTGAAACTGTCTTTTGGACCTTGAACCGTTTGGACCCCATTGAAGTCCATTATATGGAGAAAATCCTGGAATGTTTTCATCAAAAACCTTAATTTCTTTTCGACTGAAGAAAGAAAGACATGGACATCTTGGATGACACGGGGGCGAGTAAATTATCAGCAAAAGTTTTTTTTAAAAGTGAACTACTCCTTTAATAATAATAATGTCGAGTGCGGTGCATGGCTGTGATATAGGTTATAGACCTACCAAAGTCTGTTGCCATGATTTTTCGAATGACTTATCGCGAGAGGAAAAAAAGACGTTTTAGTCGCATAACATCGGTTAATGGAAACACCGTCATTTCGCAATCGTTTTTTATCGACATTTGGACAATATCGCAAAAGTTTTGCGCAAATCTGTAATGGAAACACGCCTTGTGTGTGTGTGACTGTGTGTGTGATGGTCACACACCCGTGCAGCGTTGTATATGCGGAAGATCCGGCTGATAATGTCCTCCTCCAGATCGGCGGAGACGAACTCGACCTGCAGCGGCCCGTGCCGGTGCACACCGTTCTCAGGCCAGTACTGTGGACACAACTACACACACACACACACATCAGAGTAAGCACTTCTCTTGTCTATTATTTTAGTTTCACAAACATCTTCCCAGCACTATAAACAACAATGAATATGAACTGACAGACACTTTGAGTGTGTGTGTGTGTGTGTACACCGTTCACGTTTATTATCCACTCAAATCTCCCATCATCCTCACTCTCTTGCTGCTATTGTGTAGTGTTTTGTGAAGGAATATGTGATGAAAAGGAGTGTGTGTTCATCTGTGTGTGTGAGACGCATCGCCTCACTCGGGGTTTGAAGTGTGTGTGTGTGTGTGTGTGCTCAGCAAAAACATCCACTTCTCACACACACAAATATTTTGGTATACAGGTGCATATAAACAAAATTATTAGATACGACACCAATGAATCAGTTCAAAGTGTCCGTTTCAATGAATCGATTCAAAAACTGTTTGTGTCATTGATGTCCTAATGTACTAGAATGTTAAATATAAACATCATTAGGTAATGCTGTTTACAAATATATTTTGTTATACGGTGCATAAAAACGAAAATACGAGAACAGAGTCTTTCATTTAAACTTTGAATCTTCAGCAGAACAGTTTGAGTCATTTCAATGAATCAGTTTTAATGAATCAACTCAAAACTCTTTCAAATAAGATTTTTTTCCATTTTAATGTTTTAGTGAATATACTTTTAGGTGAGGTGGTGAACATTGCTGTTTATCACTATATATTGTTATATAGGTGCATGAGAGAATAGTCTTTCATTTAAACTTTGAATCTTCAGCAGAACAGTTTGAGTCATTTCAATGAATCAGTTTCAATGAATCAACTCTTTCAAATGAGATTTTTTCCATTTTAAATGTTTTAGTGAATACACTTTTAGGTGAGGTGGTGAACATTGCTGTTTATCACTATATATTGTTATATAGGTGCAGTCTTTCATTTAATCTTCAGCAGGAAAAGAGTCGATAACTTTGATTCATTTCAGAGAATCAGTCGAAACTGCCCGTTTCAATGAACCGATTCAAATCTCTGTTTTTTCATGTAAATATCTGTAGGTAAATGACAAGATTAAATAAGATTGTTTCCTCTTTTGCCTGGATAATTTGAGCTGTACTTGAATGTGGAGTGTGTGTGAAATGTTGGATCTTCTCATCACTCTGGGGTCAGTTAAGAGCAAACACAGGACGAGTGTGAGATGGACCTGTGTGTGTGTGTGTGTGTTTGCTGAGGGCTTTATGGGCTTTAGACTCTCATGCGCTTTGATCCGGGGCTGTTCTGACAGAGCCTGAGGCTTCCGTCCCTACAGACACACACACATGAATCTCAATCACTGTCTCTCACACACACACTTCCCTCTGTGAGTGACCCGTCACCGTTCATTATTTATCATTCTGTCAGAACACTTCCTCACGTCCCAGAATCCCCTGCTCCTCAACAGAGCCCGCCTTCAACACTCATTCGCAAAAATCGTGGCTTATTCTCTTCTCCCCAAACCTTTTTTTGGGGTTATTTCTTCAGTGTTTGGCTAGTTTTTGTGTTACCCAGATGCTGGGTCAGACGCAACAACCCAATGTTAAGTTAATACGTAAACATTAACTCATGTATGAAGTAAAAAAAAAAAAAAAACGATGGTAAAAATGAATTAACACAGTGTGCTGGGTTAAATAACCCAACATGTATTTACCCAGCCATTGGGTTGAAAACAGTTGGTTTTAGAGTGAACCAATCAGATGCTTTCGACACGTGTACCGTATTCTGTGTTTATCCTAACCTGAGCGGGGTCCACGTCGTTCAGCATGACGATAGACGTGCAGTGATAGTCCAGAACCAGCCGCCAGAAATCCTTCACGGTGTTCGGCAAAGGATGCTGGGTAACGATGAACGCCGACGGCTGCTTGTAGCTCTGAGAGAGAAACACAACAGAGAGGTCAGATTGACATAAATGTGAGTCAATAATACACAAAAATGCACGAATTTAGAGGTTTCGATTTTTTTGCACGCTCAGATTCCAGATTTTCTAATAGTTGCATCAGCCTAATATTGTCCAATCCTAACACACCGTACATCAACGGAAAGCTTATTTATCCAGCCTGCAGATTATGTATAAATGATAATGTCGTCGGCGTACGTCCATGAGCGCGGCGTTGATGTAGTTGCTGCTCTCGCCGTCGATGGTGATGAGGAAGGGCAGGCATCGGTCGGGAGGAAGGACGTCCATGCAGCGGTTCTTCTCGTGGTTACGCGGCAGCAGAGCGATGCTACAGTCCTCCACGCGCAGCGTCGGCGTCACCATGTTCAGAGTCTGTCAACACACACACACACACACACACACACACACACATTAATGGTGTTCTGTATATACTGACCAATACTTTAAACAAAATATTAAAAGCGCTCTATATATATATATTAAATATTAAAAAACTAAATTATATTGAATTATAACTAGATGAGTAAATTTAGAGATGGATGGATGGACATATGGATTTATAGATGGATGGATGGATAGATGAATGGATGGATGGACATGGATGGATGGACATATGGATGGATGGATGGATGGACATATGGATGGATGGATGGATGGATGGATAGATGGATGGATGGATTTATAGATGGATGGACATATGGATGGATAGATGGATAGATGGATAGATGGATGGATGGACGTATGGATGGATGGATGGATGGATGGACATATGGATGGATGGATGGATGGATGGACATATGGATGGATGGATGGATGGACATATGGATGGATGGATGGATAGATGAATGGATGGATGGACATAGATGGATGGATGGCTGGATGGATGGACATATGGATGGATGGATGGACATATGGATGGATGGATGGATGGATGGACATATGGATGGATGGATGGATGGATGGATGGACATATGGATGGATGGATGGATGGATGGATGGATGGATAGATGGATGGATGGATTTATAGATGGATGGACATATGGATGGATAGATGGATAGATGGATGGATGGACATATGGATGGATGGATGGATGGACATATGGATGGATGGATGGATGGATGGATGGATGGATGGACATATGGATGGATGGATGGATGGACATATGGATGGATGGATGGATGGATGGATAGATGGATGGATGGATTTATAGATGGATGGACATATGGATGGATAGATGGATGGATGGACATATGGATGGATGGATGGATGGACATATGGATGGATATATGGATTTATGGATGGATGGACATATGGATGGATGGATGGATATATGGATGGATGGATGGATAGATGGATTTATGGATGGATGGATGGACATATGGATGGATGGATGGATATATGGATTTATAGATAGACGGATGGATGGATAGATAGATGGATAGATAGATGGATGGATGGATGGACATATGGATGGATGGATGGATATATGGATTTATAGATAGATGGATGGATGAATGAATGGATGGATGGATAGACAGACATATGGATGGATGGATGAATGGATAGATAGATGGATGGATATATGGATTTATAGATAGATGGATGGATGGATATATTTGGATTTATGGATGGATAGATGGATAGATAGATAGATAGATAGATAGATAGATAGATAGATAGATAGATAGATAGATTGACAGATAGATAGATAGATAGATAGATAGATAGATAGATAGATAGATAGATAGATAGATAGATGACAGATAGATAGATAGATAGATAGATAGATAGATAGATAGATAGATAGAACAGAAACGTGCAGTAGAAACAGAGTTTGTGGTTTGATATATAATATCTGTGTCCAACAGTGCGTAATATCTAATAAACGCTGATGATGTATTTATAAAACGTCTGAAACCGATTGAGTCTCTCAGCAGAATATTGCGATGTATGATATTCACACACGGATACAAACGCTCATATTTCCTCTTTTTCCTCCAGAGTACTTTATAAAATCTAATCAAAGCAGCGAATCACAGTAATACACAAACTCTCTCATATCCTCAGCGCAAACACATTACAGAAGATGAGCAGAGCCGTCTCTCACCCGGAACTCCTCTTTGATTGGACTGGAGTTGGTCTGAGGGTCCAATCGGTTCATGTCGTAGTAGACGGAGCGAAGCTGATTGGCTGGGATTGTGGTGTCGCCACAAAGACACGCCTCCAAAATGGCATCATGGATAAAGACGTACTGTTCCTGACAACGACAAGAAATGAGCAAGAACATGTTTCGATGAGATCTTTCTGTCCCAAACGAATGATTTTTGATGTATTATCCGTTTAAATGTCAAAACTCGTACAAAGTCAATTGTTCAGTTCAAATGTCAGTAGGATTTATGCTAATGGAATAATTTGCAAAACGTTAAAACAAAATGAGACATGCGGCGTCTGCGGCTCCAATGTTTGTTTGTTATTTTGTTAAAGATGGGAGTGTACTCTATTTTAGTTTAATTGAATATTTCACTTTTTTAATACTTATATGTATGCTGTACTTATAATCCATTTATTAATTCCATTTTAATTCATTTATTTTTGAATTAAACCAAGAAATGAGATCATAGATTATCTCACCTGTAAGGATTCAAACGTTTGGCCTCAGAAATGATCTATTTATTATTAATTATAATTCAAAGAAGTAATAAATGACACTCTAAATCGAGCGAAAAGTGACCGTAAAGACGTGTATAATGTATATTTTGAATAAATGCTGTTTTTTGAACTTTTAATGTTAGATAATAATCATAAATGTGTCTTGATCATCAGATCATCATATTAAGGGTCATGTGACTAATGATGATGGAAATCACAGGAATAAATTACATTTCATTCGATATTCACATGCTTTACAATAAATTAATTATTGATATGATTGACATATGTTTTGGTGAGATTCTTTCCACAACATTAAAACATGTCACACACACACACACACACACACACACACGCGTCTAACGCTGGGTTAGCCGGTTCCACGTCTCTCGACATCCTTGGTCTGTTTTGTATTCATGGAGTTTGGCATGCAGATGCCACTGTGATTGCACTCATTTGTTTCACAAGGGGTTCGGACGGCGTGAGGCAGAAGAACATCAAACTTTATTAGCAGAGAATCATCAAATCATCTCACTTTTCAGATTCGCCTCAGCGACTCCACGCGCTTGACGGAAATCACTGCTGAAGTGACATTTACAAACCATCTTGGCCTGTCACTGTTGACTAGATCGTGAGGACGGGGTCATTGCGTCGCTGATTAGGCTCTGCCGTGACCTTTGACCTTTGGGTGCCTGAGAACCAACAGCCTCTCTAATGAGCGAACGCTCACCATCGTCCTCGCAAATGATCAGTGACGGTTCAAACGCGCGTGTCAGACGGTAACAAGTTCCCGTAGGGCGAGAGAGCGTGCCAAAACACCTGTGAGGGACACACACACACACACACACACACACGCACACGCACGCCTCTGAAGGTCACTGAACTTAAGGAGGATGAATCAGACAAACGTTCCAGACGTCATCTATGAGACATGCGGCGTCTGCGGCTCCGATGATGGGACGGGAGTGTACTCTATTTTAGTTTCATTTAATATTTCGCTTTTTTTTATACTTATAGAGCATTTCACAAGATGTAAACAACACTGGTCCAGAAGCACTTCCTGTTTCGGTTTTTTAACACTACATAAAAGCTGGGATAAAATATAAAACTGAATCAAAAAGTTAAACAAACATCTTTAAGATGTGAAATAAAGAAAACAGTTACAAACTGAAACAGGAAGTGCTTCTGGACCAGTGTTGTTTACATCTTGTCAAATGGTCTATATTTACGCTTTATTTATAATCCATTTATTTTTTTACCTTGAGACATGTTTCACCCTCGCCTCATTTAGTATGCGCGGTTCTATGAATATGCAAATGAGCCCCGCCTCCACTCACTCACTCACTCACTCACTCCACTGGTTGACGATCCCACGTTGATTGACGTCTATTCTCTCGTCGTTTCCTCGACACGCTCAATCAGGTAAAGGTGAAAAGGTCCGAGGTCAAAGGTCAAGTCTACTTTATTTGTGTTTCAGAGCAGCTTTACAGAGATTACAGGAACATAATGCAACCCAGCTAACAAAGTTAGGTTCTGAGAACGTTTTTCTAACGTTCCATTTTGGTTGTGGGAACGTTAATTTAAAATGTTCTAAAAACGTGGAAATGTCCAGTTTGCTTAACGTTGCTGGAACGGTGTCTTAATGTTTGCAGAACGTTGCTGGAACGGTGTCTTAATGTTTGCAGAACGTTGCTGGAACGTTAGCATAATGTTGCTGGAACGTTATGAGAACGTTTATCAAACACAAATAACCTGATAAAGACGTTCCGATAACGTTGTTCTAAGAACGTTTTTTATCAACGTAACGAGAACGTTCATCAAACACAAATAACGTGATAAAGACGTTCCAAGAACGTTGTTCTAAGAACGTTTTCTCTCAACGTTACAAGAACGTTAATAATGTTATATGAACGTTCCGAAAACATTATTTTAATAACGTTTTGTCCTAACATTTACACAACTTTTAAAGAACGTTAGTGAATTTTCTGGGAACGTTCCCTGTTAGCTGGGAATAAAGTTTGTTTTTCTGGAAGAGAATAGCGTCACAGTCCAAGTGGAAAATTATTAATTTATTTTGTTTATATATGTATCTGCTCTGGTGATGTCATCGTCCAGCTCAGATCAGCTCTCTTATAACGGCGTCAGAGCGTGATTAATAATATTGTTGAATATTAAATTAATGAGCAAAACAGAGGAACCGAAACTCCATCAGTGACAGAATGGAGACGCCAGACTCTGGCCAACGAGCCAACGGAGTATGATTAGGATTCAGATTCAGGCAGCATTACAGGTCAGAGGTCAGATTGGATCAGAACATTATCATCCAGACTCTAATAAGATGAGAACGGGTTTACACATCCAACCCTGGAGTCAAAAACGTGTTGATCACATCTAAACACACACACACACACACACACACACACACACACACACACACAACACACACACACACACACACACACACACACACACACACACACACACACACACACACACACACACACACACACACACACACACCACACACACACACACACACACACACATTACCAGTCAAAAGAAGTCAAAAGTGAGAAGCGATACCTCGGTCTGCACCATGTTGACCCTGCGTGACCTCAGCTCCCGCACGCAGTTGTAGATGTCGACCACGCCCTCGCGCTCCGCCATGTCCAGCATGATGTCAATCACGATGAAGCAGCCGGTTCGCCCCGCCCCCGCGCTGTCAGCCGGCCAATCACAACACAGATCAGGTCAACAGAGGAAAACATACAATTAAAAACAACCGTATGCTAAATAAATGCTACATTCACTCACATGAGGTCAGAATTTTTAATATAATATAATATAATATAATATAATATAATATAATATAATATAATATAATATAATATAATATAATATAATATAATATAATATAATATAGTGCCGGGCAACGATTAATCACGATTAATTGCAATGTATTGGAATGTATAAGTGCAATTGCAAAATAAAATTTGAGTTTGCATTATATACGTGTGTGTACTGTGTATAATTATTTTGTATACATCTTTCTTAAATATATACATGCATGTGTGTGTATATATAAAAGTAAGTATACATAATGCACACATATATCATGTAAACAACACAAACTTTTATTTTGGATGCGATTAATCAATGCCTCTAATATATTAGAATGATAAATGATATGATATAATATTGAAGCTGAGTTTATAGCGCGCGGATCATGTGACCGCAGACGGTGATGATGTCACACACCTGCAGTGGACCACGATGGGCCCGGCGTTGAGCGGAGACTTGGCTTTGACGCGGCGGATGAATCCCAGGAGACCCGTGGAGTGATACGGCACGCCGTGATCCGGCCAGCCCGTGAAGTGGAACTGACTGATTTCTCGGATCTCGTGAGCTCCTCGCTGCACACACACACACACACACACACACACACACACACACACACACACACGCATCATTACTGTGTTCAACTCAAGTTAAAAGCTTGAGTTATTCTAAAGCATGAGTGTTTGTAAAGAGTGTGTTTGTGAGGAGTGTGTGTGTGAAGTGTGTGTGTGAAGTGTGTTTGTTCCTCACCTTCTCCACTGCAAAGGTTCTGATGACGTACTCGGACAGAAGTTGTGTTTCGATGAGCGTGACCTTGATGTCTCTGTAGATCTCGGTGTCGTCAGGCCAGTATTTACAGCATTTCACCTGAGACACAAACAGCCTGTGATCAGAGCTCAGGTTCGAGTCCGGCTCGCGACCCCATCGAGACATATATATATATTATAACTGATTAAATATGGCAAGTTATTTATTTATTTATTTATGTGTGTTTATTGAAAACGAGAATGCTTTTATTGTCATTGCACAATTAACTTAGTAAATAAATTAAATATTCGATATTTTAGAAATATTAGGGAACTCAGTATTACATGTCAGTAAATACTGCAGGTATGAAGCAGATTTAGGCTTTGCATAAAATGATTAAAAAAAGTTAGATATTTCACACCTTAATCATTACTTTCAATAGTTCATTAAATATTTAAAGTATTTTTACAAACAGATTTTGTCGGTAGAATAATGATACTGGTTACAATTAATTATTTGGAGCGTCTTATAAAACAACACAACACAAAATAAAATGAAATACAAATAGAATAAAATAACACAACACAAAATAAAATCAAATGAAAAAAATGTAATAAAATAAAATAAGGTAATATTTTAGTTAACACAACTGACTCATTTTCTAAAAGAGTATTTGTAAACAATTTTAAAGTTTTTTTTTTACAAACAAGAAGAATAATTAAATTAAAATAATTGAAATTAAAATATGTGTCCAAAAAATGTTACAGTAATAGGCCATATGATAGTTACAATCAACTTTTGAAGCTTCCTTAAAAGTGTTTTAATAAAATAAAATATTTTGAGCTTCCTAATAAAAATAAATAAATCAATAAAACGCAAGTTAGGTATTTTTTTTTTACCTTTAATGAATGTGACCTAACTAATTATTTCTATATTCGAGATATCAGCTAATAAATACAAAAATAAAGATATAAAACAATTGAAGCTATAGATATAATTTCAATAAGATGCAATGAATGCATTAAAAGTGAGATACCAGGAAGTGTGATCAGTTTTGATATGGAAAGATATTAGATTTCTACGCTTTCTGAAGAATACGTGGCTGATGCAGTAATGAGGTTTGGTCAGGGCGCGTGAGCTCAGTTTCAGACGTCACCTGATCACACGAGTGATTAACTGATGTATTGATCTAGAAGTCTCCGACGAACGGATCGATACGCTGAGGATCACGAGAGAACGATGGACTCTCGCCACTGCTTAACCACTCACAACATCTGTAACCATAGCAACACAGGTGTCTGCGGTAACCGGGGTAACCCGCAGGTAAACGATATTAAAAGGTGCGTATGTTTCTGAGAAACACTTGCGTCCGCTTCATTTAATAACTCTAAAATGTCAAGTGATGTAACCATCTAATAAAAGCAGGGAGAAATCGGCACGCTTTCAATTAATGTGGGTTCGTTATTTTCAACCACAAAATAAAATAAAATGAATAAAATAACACAAACTAAAATAAAACACGACAAAATAAAATGAATATGAAATAGATTCGAATAAAATAACATCGCAATACAACATAAAACAAAATGAAATAAAATAGAATAAAATAAAACAACACAACGTAAACGTTTTTAATAAATAAAATTAAATAAAATACCACAACGAAAAATAAAATAGGATAAAATAAAAGCACAATACAAAAAATTAAATTAAATAAAATAGGATAAAGTAAAAAAGCACAAAATAAAATAAAATAGAATAAAATAAAACAACACAAACGTTTTCAATAAATAAAATTAAATAAATTTAAATTAAACAACACAAAAAATAAAATAGGATAAAATAAATACAAAACACACAATAAAATTAAATAAAATGGGATAAAATAAAATAACAACACAAAATAAAATAAAATAGGATAAAATAAAATAGCACAAACCAAAATAAAATATATACAAAAAAAAAAAAAACTACTAAATAAAATAAAAGCCAGTTAGATATCACCTAATACATTATTTTTTATAAAGGCGTTTTCTAAAGTATTTCTATCTAGAATTAATGTATTAAATCTGGTTGGCTAAATGACAATAGTTTTGATTGATAATTTAATGCATCTTTAAAAGAAAACAAATCTAATCATTAAATTCATTAAATCATTAAATGTACAGCTCAATTGAATTCTGTTATTCAGTTCTCACTGTGAATCTGCTTTAAAATAATCTGTACTGTATAAAGCGCTGTAGAAATAAACATCACATCCGAGTCAATAAACCTGCACTTCATTACTCAACACCTGGAACGTCCGTCAGCCAATCAGAACGAAGATCTCCACCAATAGAGACGGTTTCCCCGTCGAATCTCTCAGGGATGTAATTCACACATTAATGTTCTCATTCACACATTACACACAGATAAATGAGTTCTGCACTTCCAGATGTGACATCGATACCCGGACCGGATCACGAGACGTCTGGAATGATCTTCACCGTCAACTCCATTACAGAGCGTCAAACAAAACCTCATTATGAGGCAATATAATCCAGCCAGCAGAGAAACACCAGCACTAATAACGGCTTTCACTGCAACAAACACGAGCACGACTCACACACAACATGATTACTAAACTCACTTTGCAGGGTGAGAGTGAGCGAGCGAGAGAGAGAGAGATGATTTCTGTAATATAATCCTTTTTATTTTATTTTTTCACCTTTATTTGTTTGCTTTATCTAGCCATGAATATATATTTAATTTAATTTAATAAAATATAAATATATATAAAATTAAATATTTTTTTTTTTTATAATTTAATAATGAATTATTATTTTCTGTACTAAATGTTCTAAATAATTTTCTATGTTGTTTTGATGCTTTGGCAATGCAAAATGTATTTTTTTGTCATGCATATACAGCTTTCTGAACTGAATTGAGAGAGAGAGAGAGACAGCCTAAGACCTACACACATGTATATAATGTTCAATATTTTTCTTTTTTGTGTATATATATATATATATATATATATATATAGATGATTTCTAAATCCATTTTATTTTATTTATTAATCTGTTCATTTTATTATTATTGTTTTATGATATCAGTTTTAATATTTTGTGTACTAAATGTTCCAAATCATTTTCTATGTTGTTTTGACGCTTTGGCAATACAAAATGTATTTTTTTTGTCATGCCAATAAAGCTTTCTGAATTGAATTGAGAGAGAGAGAGAGAGAGAGAGAGAGAGAGAATGGAAAACAATGGGAATTGTGACACTTTAAGTGCGTAAATTCAATTTTTGTCCATCATTAAAGTGGGGATGTGATTGGACACACAGCGACTCCATCTGCAGATCCTCTGGGATTATATGACGGAAAAACACATTGTATTATTTCAGAAATTAGGATGGATTCAGTGTGTCTGCATGTGTTGATCTTAAGGCTAACCAGGCAAACCAAAAACTGTTCAGACACCAGATATAACTCGTGATATTTAGTTCTAGTGTGATTAGGGCACTATAGTTCATTTATGTAACTGAGGAGAGCAAAATAAAGTAAACTGAGACAAATTATATCTAGAAATACTTCATACAGTGACTAGCAGTACATCGAAGGCCGCACTCGGAACAAGAGTCCAGAACCATTGCTAACTTTACCCGTGACGGTCTCTGTACTGTATACTGGACGGAAACCAGGAAGAAACCAGGAACAGCTTCATTGGTGAAAGAAATCTTTACATTGCCAAAGCATTCATAACACTATAGAATACAAATAAGTAAATAATTATACAAATAAATAACAAAAAAATCTCTCTCTCTCTCTCTCTCTCTCTCTCTCTCTCCGCCCAGGAGCATTCATCTAATCTCCTCAGATCCCCCAGAATGCCCTGAGTTGTGCGCAGAGACACAGATGTGTGTTTATGAGTGTCCGTGGGGAAGCCGCCGCCCACATCAGATCAGCCTCGTATAACACACGCCCGCGGCTCCACACGTCTGCATCTACACTCGTCTGTACGTGACGCTTCACGCTAACATGAATTATTATTCACAAAAGTATTGATTTTATTCTGATTTTAGATGCTCATCTTTTAGTATTTAATATTTTTTAAGCTGTCAGACGGTCGGATCCAGTCGTGACTCTCTATGAAGAGATGAAGATTGTTCAGACTTAATGTGTCCAGTTCTACTTTTAAACATGTTGAACTTTAACAATAATTCAATTAACTGTTAATGACTATAAATAATCTGATTTCTCTGATCTTCAGATTGTATTTAATGTTGAAATATGTACAGTAGATACATTGACAGCATTACATAAATGTTTTATTTATGGATGGATGGATGGATTGATTGGTTGATTGATTGATTGGTTGATTGATTGGTTGATTGGTTTCTGGCCAGAAATTCACATTGATGAAGCCCAGAACGCATCATGGGAGTCAGAGGGAGTCGATCTGGACTCTAGACACACACACACACAGTGTCTTACACTCACCCTGCCGACTTCCACCAGGTTGGTCACCATGACGATG